CGGGGGGCGCGCCGTCACCAATGGGGCCCCATGGGTGACAACCGTCGGCGCGGGAACCATCGACAGGGACTTCCCGGCCGATGTGAAGCTCGGGAACGGCAGAACAATCCCGGGCATGAGCATCTATTCCGGGCCGGGTCTCGCTCCGGGTCGTATGTACCCGCTGGTTTACTCGGGCGGCGTAGGCGGCGATGGTTACTCCTCGTCTCTGTGTCTAGAAGGTTCTCTGAGTCAAGTAAAAGGGAAAATCGTCGTCTGCGACAGAGGAATTAATTCAAGAGCCGCGAAAGGTGACGTGGTGAAGAAAGCCGGAGGAGTTGGTATGATACTCGCGAACGGGGTTTTCGACGGCGAAGGACTAGTAGCTGACTGCCACGTGTTACCCGCCACCGCCGTCGCTGCCTCCACGGGCGACGAAATCAGGAGATACATCGCCTCATCAAACTCTAAGTCCCCAGCTACAGCGACAATTGTGTTCAAGGGGACTCGGATCGGGGTCCGGCCCGCGCCAGTCGTGGCGTCGTTTTCAGCCCGTGGACCGAACCCGGAGTCCCCGGAGATATTGAAGCCGGATGTTATCGCGCCCGGCTTGAATATATTGGCGGCTTGGCCCGATAGAGTCGGGCCCTCGGGCGTGGCTTCGGACAAGAGAAACACGGAGTTCAATATCCTCTCGGGAACATCAATGGCTTGCCCACACGTGTCCGGCTTGGCGGCGCTGTTGAAAGCGGCGCATCCAGATTGGAGCCCGGCCGCCATTAGATCCGCCCTGATGACCACGGCATACACCGTGGACAATCGGGGTGAGACCATGCTGGACGAGTCCAGCGGCAACACTTCCAGCGTTATGGACTTTGGGGCGGGTCATGTCCACCCGCAAAAGGCAATGGACCCGGGGTTGGTCTACGACATTCGCTCTTACGATTACGTGGATTTCTTGTGCAATTCCAATTATACCACTAAGAACATCCAGGTGGTGACTAGGAAGTTTGCCAATTGCAATGAGGCTAAGAGGGCAGGGCATTCTGGGAACTTAAATTACCCCTCCTTGTCTGTGGTGTTTCAGCAGTATGGAAAGCATAAGATGTCTACTCATTTTATTCGGACCGTGACGAATGTGGGTACGCCGAATTCGGTTTATCAGGTGACGATTAAGCCAGCTGCAGGGATGACAGTGACGGTGGAGCCAGAGAAGCTTGCGTTTAGGAGGGTGGGGCAGAAGTTGAGTTTTCTTGTGAGGGTGCAAGCCTTGGCAGCGAAGCTATCCCCTGGTAGCATTAGTGTGAAGAGTGGTTCTATTGTTTGGTCTGATGGGAAGCACACTGTGACTAGCCCCTTGGTTGTGACAATGCAACAACCTCTCTAGGTGTTCGTATGCGTGTGTGTTTAGGGTTTCGGGTTTCGGGTTTTAGGAATTTTGCGCTCCTTAGACCTTGTTACAAAAGTCATAACTTATCTCCCTCTCTATATATGAATATGTATGTATAATGAGAATGTGTACTTTCAAGGTTTTCAACTCCAGAAAACTGGTGGGGTTTGGTTGGTTTGTTGTAAGATTAAGAAGCGAAAACGTTTGTAGAATGAAAAAAAAAAAAAAGGGATGGTTTTTGTTTTGTGGTCTTTAATGTATATTTCTTGATTTCTACGTCGTTCTGATTAGTTTATAAGTAAGATTTGTGAAGCATATGATTTTGGTTCCTGCAATATGATTTTGTTTCCTGCAATATGATTTTGTTGTCAAAGTTTCTTTGTGCACGTAAACATTGAGCTAATGACGATCATTAAGACAAGAAGAATCATGTGGGGTACTTGAAGCAACGACATGGCGTTTTCTGGACTAAATCTGCAAATCAGACAAACTACTTTCTTGATTGGTCAAATTAGGATATAAAATGGGTATATTATTCATGATTAAAAATCCAGAAATTGTGTGGTGCTTTTGAAATATGTGCATGCCTAATGAGAAGATCCAACGAACCAGTTGTCTAGGCTTTTTGCAAGATCAATTTGACCTCATGCAATCTAAATAACGAAGGCTTTTTGGAATCCCCTTTTAAGTTTCCACTTGATTTAATTTAAACTTTATTACCTCTCAATCTCAATCCATTGACAATTTGACGTCCTACCCGATGCTTTTAGCTATAAAACACAAGCAATAACATGAGGATCCGTCTGCCTACAAGTTTATGCAAAAGGTTAATTAATCCGTTTGACAAAAGCAACTTATTAGCTGGAAAGTGTCACTTAATAGGAAGGTTCTTTAAATCTATCGACCATTATAACACGGTGTTTAGCAGTTGATATTTTGTTTTACTTTGCTCATAAAATCATGATGTCCTGTTCTTTCTTAAATAACAATTTTGCATTTTTTTAAGAAATGTGTATTCATACAATTATCCGTAACATTCACCATTTAACTAATTCGTTTGTGTGGATCTCCTTACATAGAAGAACAACAACAAAAACCCGAAATATGATCTCAATCTTGGCTATCGCATTTGGAGAGACAGGCCAGGCAGCACACATGTCTTGGCTTGTTCTAAGAAACCAACCACCCTAGGCACCCCTGATGTAGAAATTACGGGCATTGTCTTGGCCAATCAATGCTATCAAGTTTGATTCACAAGGTGCAACTTTGCAAGGGCAAGTTGCAAGCTGACTTTACATATTGGAGGGACCAATGCTTTCCGAAGCCTCTCTCATTATTAGAATTCAAGGATAGCGTAGTCCATAAATAGCAGAGGCATTTTCCTTCCTGCCAGATATGACCTCTGTAATGTGGGGCATGCATCTGTGGTCAGGTTCACATGTCTCACTACACTAGCTAGGTTTTGTGGAAGCTAGTCATTTCACGTTTCTCTTCCTTATTCGCAATTTCTTTGTTTTGTTGTTGGATGGGCCATGTGACTTCGTTTGGGATGGCAATTTCCCCGCCAATTCCGCAAAGCCCTTTTCATGGTTACACCTAATGGGGACAGGAATAGTTATGAACACATTATGTGTTTGTGGTTGTAATATTTTTCTACTTCTTTGTTGTGATAATACAAGATGATTATGTGAAGGAAACAAATTGAAAAAACGTACAATGGTTTTATACCTGATTGAGGTCATGTTATCCAGACGAGTAGAGACGAAAATAACAAATCCGGCCCCCGCTGGGCCGTACACGCTACCATCTCTACATGTTGGATTTACTTGTACGGACATGGATTGGGCGTACGTGTTGAATTTTTTAACTTAAAGATTTGAACATTACGACCTATTTTAACTAAATGGAGACAATTACCGCTACGAAAAAGTATTTGGGTTTCAAGTAATCTTGTGGCCCAACTGACTTTGGACAACGAAAAGGCCTGGGTAGAGATAGCCGTCCTACTAAAGCTTTGTGGTTATGAATCAAAACTGCTCCAAGCCCACCGAAAGCCCCTTCATGGAAAATGGGCCTAACATTTGGTATGAGTTTGTAATATTTGAGCAGGCCAAGTAATAAAATAAAAATAAAAGGGTTTCAAGCGTACCCAATTTGACTTGTTACTTAATCTTTGACTGTTGAATGAGAAAATTTAGAAGACATAGATTACGATGGAAAATCAAAAGCATGATTCTCCCAGCCGATGTCAAAATGCTGGCCACTTGATCATCTGAAGTCACACCTAACGTTTGTCCCTTGGGAGATGACAAAATATATTGTGAGTGTGCACGTAGCATCATTTTCTTCACCAGTCACCTCCACCTCTAAAATTTGACATCATCTTTGCCAAACGCCAAAGAAAGTACCTTAATCGGTTGAAGAAAATGACATGAAAGATATATGCATGTTGCTTACTTGGACTACAAGACCTCTTGCATGTGTGTGAGTGTGATGACGATTCAAAGTGGTCCATATAGCTATAATTTCACAGCCGATGTAAAAACTCCATGTCTATCCTTTTTGAAATAGCCAAAAAATCTCATGATCCGTACTTTCGTATGTTGCGATAAACTCTAGATACATGTTATTAGTATATGTAAACAATGCGTATAGTGTTTTATATTCATGTATGTGTTAGATATATTCAAAGTTCCTTCGTTTGTGTAAGAATGTAATATAAAAATGAAGAAACTGAAAGGGAAAATCTTTTTAAATTGTGGCCAGTGGCCACGATGAATGTTCTACTTTTGGGTTCTCTTTATATGCATGGTATTCCGGGGAAAACAACTTTAAATTGCAGGATTTTTGGATGTGAGGGATCGGCCGACGTAACGATCCTAATAGTGTTCATGGTTGTTACAAACTTGGAAGCTTTACTAGCCACAAAAACTAAATACCAAAAATGGATCATCCTTCCCCGCACTGGCGGATCTAGTAAGGCGTAAGGAGGTGCAGCAGCTGCACCACCCCTCGCCGGAAAAATCATTGTATATGCTTCAAATTGCCCATTTACTCAAGTGGTGTACATATTACCTTATTTCCATTTTCAACATTTAAGTAAATGTCTTTGTCCTTTTACTTTTATTTATTTTTATATTACTCCATTTACTTAAGTTTACAATGTAAATAAGGAAGTACCCCCAATTTGGATTCAAATAAAAATACTAGAAAATCAAATTCCCACCAAATCAAAATATGAAAAATCGGTTTTAGTGCAAAATACAATTTAGGCTAAAAATAATGGCTCTATACTTAGTCAATATTACACCTCCGCTAAAAAATTTCTAAGTCCGCCAGTGCTTCCCCGTGTCTAAATGCGTACAGAGCACTACCGACTCAATAGAAATCATTTTTTTCTATTGATTTCTCTACCTTTATATAAATTTAAGAAAATAAATTTATTATTTATTATTTATTTTTGCCTCAATTTCTAAAAGAATAATTATTACTTTAGAGAGAGAGAGAGAGAATCATTTCCCAAATTGGCGTGACATCGATGATATGGTGGCCACTCCAAGTCTTGAGATCGTATACATAATGGATGCATGGAATTCCTTCTTGTCTTTATGGGTAAAGCCAAATAACTTGAATTCACTATTTTATGAGGTATATATTATGCAATGTAATATTTCAACTTGGTCGACAACTTGTCTTCAAGTGGTACCAATTTAAAGAATTTTTTAAAAAAATGTACACAAGATTATTCCCAACTGGGAATAAACTAATCATGTGATTATGTGTTGAGTTTTGTCATTTGTTCAAGGTCGAGACTTTAAATGACTATAAAATATGCATAGCTTTGGTTTTGGTTTTGGTTTCTGGTTTTGATTTCGGCTTTGGTTTTGGTTTTGGTTTTTGGTTTTCGGCTTTGGTTTTGGTTTTCGGCTTTGGTTTTGGTTTTTGGTTTTCGATTTTGATTTCGGCTTTGGTTTTGGTTTTGATAAAATGGCAATTTTTTATATTTCTTCTAACCTAGTACACCTTTAAGTTTATTTAAACTAATTAAAAGCCCTTAACATCCACCAACTAATCCTTCAATTTATTTCAACTCTACAACGAAATTAAATGACAGATCTAGAGAGAGTTGAGAAATAAGAGATGAGCAAAGTGTAAAATATCAACAATATTGATGAAATATTAAGGATATTATTGTTTTTTTAGGTCAATGCTATTTTAGAACATATTCATACACATATCGTATAATTATCGATATTATCAAAAAATATTGATGTCGATAATTTCTCACGAACTTTAACAATATTTGGCCAAAATATTGCAATAATATCGATAAATATCAAAAATATTGTTATATGTACAACTTCAACAAATCTCGAATCCATATAGATGGCATGTTAATAACTATATGCAAAACTATTTTTGGGATTTGTCATCAATGATGAACTCATAGCAAAAGAAATTTTAGGAAATAAAGGAAATAAATAAACTTAAAATTGGTTTTGCACTTTTTGAACAGAAGACAGCTAGGTTAGGAGTACCAAAGAAAATCCTCCACTTGGCCACTTGGCCACTTGAGCACTTGATTTAAGATTATTTGTATATAATATGGTAGTACGTACTAATGGTTCTACCTAGTAATTATTATTATATATCCCAAAGAATATTTTATATAAAAAAATAACCAAATGTCAATAAGTGAATAATGAAAGCGTGTAGAGCACAAGCTCCTCTGCCACCTCATCACCCTCCTCAACCTTCTGGGATCCGTCCCACTAGTATTAGCATATGTTAATATAAAATCATCATAATAATATCTTAATTTGTTTACTCAACGTTGGAGAGGACACTTAAGTCGGCAATTGAATTTTTAGGCTCACTTGATTAAGAGGAATGGGGGACAAAATGGGACAAAAAGCTGCAAATGCGTTTTGTTTAGCAACAAACAAATAAAAATAGTGATAGCATGTGACAAAACTTGATTTACATCAAAAGGTGTGGATAAGATAAGATCATTTGAAGAACATATTTTAAAGTTTAAACTACTTTAAACTCAATTATATCATCAATCTTTTTCGATGTATCTGCTATATTTGTCAAAGATGATAGTCAATCGGTGCATATCTGTTATCTTTTGGTGTTTACGAACAGTGAATTGGCTTTGTAATAACAAGGTTGCAATCCGATTGATTTAGTTTCTTTATTTTTAGAATAAGTCGCTTTTAATGTAGTTTTCACCTTTCATTTGTGAGAGTTTTTCATCTGTCATTTCTGAGAACTTTTCACTACTTTTTTTGTGATAGTTCTTATTTGTATTGTTTAGGTTTGGTTTTTTTAAGTCTTATCTCCTTTTGATTTGTAATCTTAGTTGGGATGCATATGTTATAGTTTCTTCGGCTGCATGATCATTAGTGAAAACACATTAGATTGTCTTAATATTAATATTAAATTTCTTGAAAAATAATAATGGCACTTTGTAGCTAGTTTATTGTCCCTTTATATCTAGTATATAATTTTCCAACAAAACAAAACCCAATTACCGAACCCAAAAAGAAGAGAGTTTAACTTCCTATTAGAAGGTTAAAAATTTGTGCATGAATCAAATAATTAATCAAACTTAATCATAATTACAGCATCCATTGCAAAATCGTGTAGAAGTGTTCCACATCCCACTTGGTAGAAAGGCGTTTACTACTACATATGCAGTAATAGGCACCCAAGCAAGTTGGACCCCGAAAGAATGCTTATAAATTGGCAAAATAATACAACTGCACGTCAACCAAGTTATACAAAATGGTTTATCTTATATCATTCACATTCCGTCCCGCATAAATACAATACAAAGTGAGCCTCACAAAAATATCGATCAAATATCTATCATTGTGACATATCACATTCGACCCAAATAAAAAAGTCCCACACCGAATAAGGGTCCCACTCATTTGTTTATTTTAACTTTTTAAGATTTGTCGTTTAGTTTTTTCCTATCTTTTTCGTTCCTCGTTTAATTGCACCATATTCTGATGCATGAACCTCCTTTCCTCCGTTGCTTAAAATATATATTTCCACTTTTTAACCCATTCACATGCCTGAGAGACCTCACCATGTACAGTAACTTCTCAAATTACAGCGGTAAAACAGTAGTATTTTTCCCCTTCCCATTTCACCCCTCTTCGGCGTATGAATTTGATGATTGCCATGTTGCTCTTCTGAGTGTTTTTTTTTTTTTTACAGTGGTGGGTAACTGGTCAACAACAGATTGATCTACCAATTACGTTACGACAGATCGATGGTGTGAAATTGAGAGAGAAATTCTGCTTGCAACTGTTGTAAACATGACCCGGAGCTATCCAACATATCATGATTGGAGAAATTAATGAAGAACATAAACATGATTCAAGGTATATTCCATGATATATAAGTTGAACACATGACTAGTATTGAGAGGCTAGTCGTTTAACGATTTTAAAATAATTGTCCGTCTTTAATTGATATAAATCTCACAATACACGTTATATTAATTAATGACTGAAAGTCGTCGTACGGAAATTCTAAATAAGATAGAGAATAAAAGAAAAGTTTTTAACGACGTGTTTAAAGTGAGGTAAAGAAATAACATATGCCGCAACTTATAATGAAAGTAATTTTGTTTAGAAGTCAAAAAAGGATTTCTAGCGACCAAAGCACTTTGCAAAATGTGCACGTTTCTGATTCCCGGGCAAAGAACATGTGTTGTTTTGTTGACATGGTTTCTTCTGTGTTTTGACCAACACGTACGTACACAGAGGTTTCTTATGTTGAGTCCAGAAAATCATATGATAAATCAGTTGCTTATGCATGCATGGGTTATAATTTCTCTTTAATTAAGATGTCAAAACGACGTCACTGTTTGAAATGAAATGGCAGGGAATTAAAAATGGACTTGATTTTGTGAAACTTGTGAATTCAAGAAAAGTTAGGTGTGGTTCAAACATTTCAATGATTTCCGGTCAAAAGAGGGTAAGGGGTAAACCAGTCCTCCTCATAGAGGTGGACTAACGAAAGTTAGGTAACATGTATATGGCCAAAGAGTTCTAGCTAGCTATCTCAATAAATAAGGCTCACGAAAGGTAATAAATCCTCCAAAATTTTGCTACCTAATCTTGAGAATCCACCTTTTTAAAATAATAATATAGGAGGTTATTAAAGTAATTAACCTCTAATTAAATCCGAATATATAATTGAGAGTCATCGTATTTTTTGAAGACGGTAAAAGTCTCACATAAGAAATTTGACAAAATAAAATACAATATATAATGAATGGTTCCATTAGTGATAGCGTCGAAACATTTTATAATAATCTCATTTAATTTTTATTTATTTGAAGCAAATAAGATAAGGTGATGATTTTCCCACTCATTTTCTGTCCACTTACATTCCCTTTTGTTTTTTAATAGTTTTTACTAAAACAAAAAAGGGAGTGTACGTGGACAAAAAAGGAGTGGGAACACATAATTTCTAACCAAGGGAGTGTAAGTGGACAAAAGAAAAGTGGGAAAATCAGCTCCCATAAGATATTGTCAGGTAATTTCTAAGTTGAGAAAAGCTTTGATAGGTGTAAATAATGATGGAATTCTTTTTTATACAAAATTCGTCAGATTTTCTTCCACATTCCACAAAGTGGCTGTGACAATATCTGAGGTTTTTAATGACCTCCGAAGCCAAATTTGCCAATGGAAAACTCCAAAAGGCGAGAAATGCCATAGCTCTATGTTTTTGCCAAGTTCCAACCTATCTCTATCTCTGTATTATGCAATGACTAAACATCATTATTACTTTCTCAAGACTTAATACACACTAACACCGATTAATAAAGGAGACAATTATAGGATGTTCTATACGTAAGAACGACTAACGTTAACAAAAATGTCATTTTCTTTATGTACATAATTACTCATTTTCATACTGAGAAAATTTCCTTAAAAATATAAAGTACTGTAAAAATTCGATGACAATCATAAATACGCAAGTGACTTCAAAACTCATGCTGTCATCATAATTACACAAGTGCAAGGACTTGTGACTCTTGTAGTTAAGAGTATTTATTGGCACATGATGTAATCATAAATAAAAGTAGGTTCGACATATTCACCTCCCAAAATCTAAAAGAATATACCGTCGCACACAAAGTTGTATAGGTCTACAAATGCAATACGAAACACGCACAAAAATTTATATTTTTTGATGAACTCCCTTTCATAGATTTCTTATTTAAAACTAAAACACAATACAAGTTCAACGTTAATAGAATAGAACATAGTTTTGGTAAAGAATCGGGAGTAAATTTAATACAAATTTATAAATAAACTCAATCCTAGACATGTATTTATAAAAAAATCCAAGCACTATTTAAGCATAGAAACACACCCAAAATCAACCCCAAAGTCAACTTTTTGGGTGTGTTTATAAATGAGTTTTGAGTGTGTGTAATAATGGGTTTTGAGTGTGTTTATATGTTTAAATAGTGCTTGGATTTTTTTATAATTTCAACCTCCATTTTGGGTGTTTTAGTGAAACTCCCTAAATTTAAATTGACCATGATCAATAAATAGTCCTTGAAGTAAAATAATAATAATAATAATAATAATAATCTTGCTACTTTTGCTTTCTATTTTGTATTTTCAGAGGGCAGTAAAAGAGCAGCAGTAAATTTAAAAGCATCACAGAAGGGCGTTCTATAGAACAAAAGCAGCGGCATATGTAAATCTCCGCGTTAACAAGGGCAAGAAAGTAAAAGAATCACCCGCCCCAGTCCTCTGCGCGCAAGAAAATATATATAAACACCTTATTCAGCAGAAAATAACAAAAGCATGTCTCTTTTAACTCGCTTCGTTTCCAAAACACAAAACCAGTCGTATACATTTTAGTCTGAAAATTCCCAGCTTTTCGATTTTCCGACACCTTTTCCAGCTGCAAAGTCCTCTGAGAAACAGCAAAAATGTGCGGAGGTGCTATAATATCCGATTTCATAGCGCCGACTCGGTCCCGGCTCACCGCCGACTACCTCTGGCCCGATCTCAAAAAACCCAGTTCGGGAAAGCGGTTCTCGAAGCCTCTCAGGCCCGAAATCGTTGACTTAGGCGATGACTTCGAGGCTGATTTCCAGGAATTCAAGGACGAGTCTGATGTGGATGAAGATGATGAAATGGTTGAGGCCAAGCCCTCTGCTTTCTCTGCTGGAAAGCCCTCTTCTGCTCGTGGTAAGCCTTACCTCTTATCGTCGTTGTTTCTTGAGCATTTACATCATTTTTTTGTTTGTTATGTGTATTGTGATGCATGTATTGGGTTTTTGGTTTAAGGGGTGGATTGATGTTAGAAATGCTATTTTTGAATATTTTATGTCATAGGTTCTGGAACTCTGGTGATTCAATCTGTTGGATTATTTTGTTTCATACGAAAATTGAGTTGCTGATTTTTCTGCTCACGGGGTAGACAGTAATTTTTTATTTATTTTTTGTTTATAAATATTTTCCGATTTAATTTATGAAATTTTGTGGCTTCGAAGTGACTGAATGTTCTGAGTAAATTTTGTTTTGAATAAAATTTCTATTTAATTTTGTTATTGTTCTATAGCAAACAGCTTTTTTTGCTTGTTAAAAAAATTTATAGATTTGTAATTTTGAGTACGTGTAAGCTGGTCGCTTTAGAAAATAAGTTTTTTTAAATAATTTTTTTTGATGAGGTATTTGGTAAGATCTTGGTGATCTTGTATGATTTTGATCAATTACTTTTTGTTTATTAATTTTTAGGGAGGGGGAAAATAGAATTTTTATGTAAGGAATCATCACTGTAGATTTTCATTGTTCTTAAAATAATATTTGCAGGAATTCTCAATTTTTGTTAATTATCTCTAGCTAGTAATGGATTAATATTTGGTTTATGGTCGATTTTGCAAATAATCAAATATCAGGCTGGGATCCATAGTGAACTGGAATTTCAAGAGTCAAGTCCGGAATATATTTCTATTGATCCGTAGGGGATGATATCTTCATTTTTTCGGTCGATAATTTTTATTTTTATTTGTAAAAATTACTATTTGCTTGTTATACCTTATGTCCTGTCAAGTTATTCTGTTTTTTATGCCATGTGATGATCATGCTTTGTAGCAATATGAAGAGATCGAAGTTTCTTCTTGTCAGTTTCTTTGTCATATGCGATAATATTAAGCTTTTGTTCTTTTTCATATTGTATCAGATCGCATCTGGTATAACTATGATCCAGGCGTTTGTTTTCATTTTTTTCTTGGGGTCGTAGGTGATGGAGGGAAGGTTTTTCTCTTTGAATCCTTATGGCTGTGTACCTAAACATGTTCTGAATCCTTTTGATCAATACATGAGGTTTTTTTTTTTTCCATGTGATTTACATCGAAGAAGATTAATGAACTTTCTTAGTGTATTTTATCCTTGTCTTTGATATATTTCTTCTTCCAATTATTGAAGGCTCTACAACGGTGAAATCAGTGGAGTTCAATGGGCAGGCTGAGAAATCTGCAAAGAGAAAGAGGAAGAACCAGTACAGGGGAATTCGCCAGCGCCCATGGGGTAAGTGGGCTGCAGAGATCCGAGATCCAAGGAAAGGGGTCCGGGTTTGGCTTGGAACTTTCAACACTGCAGAAGAAGCTGCAAGGGCTTATGATTCCGAGGCACGTAGAATTCGTGGCAAGAAAGCCAAGGTTAATTTCCCTGATGAAACCCCACGATCTTCTGCAAAGCGTTCTGTCAAGGCAAATCCTCAGAAAATGCAACCCAAGACAAACATGAATGCCATTCAGCCTAATCTGAACCAGAATATCAATTTTGTGAATGACCCAAATCAGGACTACTACAATGCTATGGGTTTTCTGGATGAAAAGCCACCAACTAATAACTTTGGGTTTATGTCCACCTTCCCTGCCAATGATGTTGCGCTGAAATCCTCTAATCCATCCGATGCTGTCCCCCTGTATTTCAGCTCTGATCAGGGAAGCAATTCTTTTGATTGTTCTGACTTTGGCTGGGGAGAACAAGGTTCAAAGACTCCAGAAATATCATCTGTCCTTTCATCTGTTATGGAAGAAAGTGATGACTCACTGTTTCTGGAGGATGCTAACCCAACGAAGAAACTGAGGTCTAACCCAGAGGATCTGGTGCCTGTTCAAGATAATGCAGGAAAGACACTGACTGATGAGCTCTCAGCTTTTGAGATGAAGTACTTTCAGACGCCATATCTTGATGGGAGCTGGGATGCTTCAGTGGACGCCTTCCTCACCGCAGATGCAACTCAGGATGGTGGCAACTCAGTGGACCTTTGGTGCTTCGATGACCTGGTTGGGGGAGGTTTCTGAGCGAACTTTTCCCCATCCATTCTATTTTATGTAAATAAAGCTACATGTTAGTGAGTTCGATTCTGCATCAGCTTCTACATTGTTTAATTTTCTGTTTCATGTTCACTCTCATTTTATTCAGAAAGAGATCCTGGTTGCTTTTTTACTTGTGGTTGCAGGATGGTTTTCTCTGGGTTTGGAGTGCAAGCTGTTGAACATGCATAAGGCTTGTATGGGGAGTACTTTAAGCCGTAGCAATGGTCTATGGAGAGCATATAGGTATTAGGTTTACTTTCGCCTCCAAAGACTTAGAATTTGGGTTGCTGAACTTGATGTTTGTATTCATGACATTGTGTGAGTGAGCTATGATGGATGATACTGAAACCTGGTAATTGTGAACTTCCGTTAAATTTATTCAGGTCTTTCTTTTTATAAGAGGCCATCAAATTTTGCATATGTTTTACGTTGTTGGTGTTAGGATCTTTGTGGAGAATAAACTCAAACTAGTTTCTTAGCTTAAAGTTTTTTGTATCGACCTCTGGTGGTTGTAGACTTGTAGTGAAGGCAACAAGGAGGTCAGACGGAATTACCAAATGACCCTGCGGAGACTTTGGAAAAAGCAAAAGGAGAGAGAAATTTTTTAAAAGAAGCCAAAATAGACAAAATTGTCCTTATTTATTTTTGGATTTCCTAAGAAATCATTTACATTTGCATGTCTTTGATTTGAAAGTTGAGAGGTTTTTCTGTCTTTTTTGAAAAAGCTTTGGTTTTTTCCAAAAGTGAAAGTTTATTTATGGCTAAAACCTAAATTTACTTTCTGGTTAATAATTTAGAGTATGTGGGGTAATTTTTCTCAGATATCCGGAGTATATTAGTTTATACATGTGGCATGGAATTGGCTGTAGCCTCCAGGTTTTATGGTTTGTCATATGCCTCAGCCATGTGAAGAGTGTGTTTGCATGTCTGCCACATGTAATCTCTCTCATGAATGGTTAAGTTTTGGAGTATGCGACCGACACGTGGCGGTAGGCTGACGGATTTTTGTGTCCTCTGCCTTCATATATATCATCATCAGCCAAGAAATAGGACAAATCAGTATGCGAGAGGAGGGGGGTAGCAGAAAAGCATAGCAGGAGAGAAGCATCATCATTTTAGCACCACCCTATGTATGCTCCCAACGTGATTTGGATGGCTCTTTCTTTAGTCACATGTTTCCGTGCAAAAAGTTTACAACTGGGGCAAATGACCAATTGGGTAGGGGAGGGACCGCGTTGGGTTTTGATTTGGTGGATCTCTAGGTTGATGGGATTGGGCGGCTGTGATTTGACCTTTGAAAAATGTGGGTTTGAATTAGTGAGTCTGTAAAGAGAGCCGGTTAAGTTTCATGGATGATTAACTAATGGTTAAGACTTAGAATACAAGGGAAGTTGTACCTACCACACCAACCTCTTTCGGCTTCTCAAGCTTCCGATGGTAAATGAGAGGCACCTCACCTACCCAAGCGAGTGTTTTAGAAGAATCACAATATAAAAAGGGCAATGATTTCCCCACTCCTATTTTATCCACTTACACTCCTTTTTTAGTTATAAAAAAGGAGTGTAAGTGGATAAAATAGGAGAAAAAGGAGTGGGGAAATCACCACTCTATAAAAAACCAAATAAACATAGAAATGCCCCCATTTGGATGACCTTTCAGGCTGGTAATAAATCAGTCTAATATTATATGTTCTGATTGCTCTGCCAAAAATTAGAAGAATGTTCCTACTGCCGATTCAGTTTCGAGAAAACTTACACACACCGGGTTGATATAATTTCGCTCATCACGTGACTAAATTGGGTGAAGACCGGTGTAGACTTGGGGGTTACGTCAACCTGTTATAGGAGGGGTTGCAAGAGAGTTAGGAGAGCATAAAATTCCCCTTGAAAAGCAAGTTTGAGAAAGTGCTTCCTTGCTTTACAAGTTTCCTGTGTGAAGGTCCTGGTATAACTTTAGAACGGAATAACACAAACTACAGTCGAAAGAAAGACATCAAATTCCTCCTTCCTGTACAAGTATTTGCATATAACAATCAATAAAACACATAATAGTATAGTCAATTAGCATAAACCCACATGATGATGATCCGCCATGGATGTTTCATTGCACAACTCAAGTTACTTATGTTGGCAAAAACTCTGCCATGCGTATTCTTTCAAAAGATGCAGTTTCTTTCTCCTCTTGTTTGTTGCCCTAGCAATAGTTTTTCTTGGTGTAGCTGCATTGATCGTAATCTTCATCATGAAGCCCCAAAGGCCAGTTTTTTCCCTCGAAACTGTAAGCTTGGATTTGTATACGCTCGAAGCCTATTCGGATTCAACCCTGTTTCTTTCATCAGCAATCACATTGACCCTGAATGCTCAAAATCCTAACAAGGTTGGCATCTGGTATAGCTCTTCACATCTTGAAGTTTTGGATGGTGGACTGCCTATAGGAACAATTCGGATTCCCGGCTTTCTTCAGCCTGCTCACAGCAGCAACGTGAGTGTCGAAATAAGGGTTCTGTTTCCATGTTTGAATGTCAGCCAGATTGTGGCAGAGGCTTCATTGCAAGACGATTCAAGGAAAAACATGTTTCAAATGAAAATTGTAGGCGATGTTGGAGCTCACCTCTGGGTGTTTCATATAATTTTGTTGAAGATTAAGGTTTGTAGCATCTCATTATTTGGTCAAAATTAAAGCGTTTCAGCGTGTGTCCAGTATTTCAAGCCTTTCAAGTTATCTAACTCAAAATGAACCATATTTGTTGTCGAATAAATCCCATTCACCAGAATTGGATTGAAAGTCTCATCAAGAAAGAAAGCACTCTTTTCTTGATTTGATTCCCTTATTCCAAGCGTGGTTGGGAGATTATTTTTTGTGCGTCCAGCGCAATGAGAGAGGGGATTCGAACTCTGATTCCGATGGAGATCTCAACCTTTTTTCTTCTTTTCACCCTGTTTTTTTTGGTAGGTTGCACTGGAGTGTGACATAAGTATTGATTATAAAGAGCTTACGATGAAAAATGAAGTTCACACTGTATGTTTCACCACCCTTGATCACATGGTTTCTTTCCCTTAATTATGGCAATGATATATGGTTTTTGCGTCACCATTATGATACTACTCTAACAACTAGCTTCTTTTCAGGCATCTTTTCCTACCAACCCCAACACCATCTTCATCAATTGCGCATTGGCTTTGTACATATGAGAGGTGGAAAATATACTTCAATTGTCAGCAAAATATGCATAATAAAGTTTTGAAATTAAACCCAAAACGTAATGGATTCAATCTCTTTCGTTGAAAAAATTGCAGGGATATTTCAATGAGCAAGAAATCAAGAACCAAGTAATAAGCTGTAACAGATGTCCTATCTGAGCTTGACGTTCATTGGTTTAGTGTATATGTTATTTGATGTCTTGTGCTTATGCGGGTTTGGTAAGCATATTCACATGTTCATGGGAAGGCACAACATGACCCCATTCTATGTACTTTGGATGATTTGGTTCATCCCAAATCTAGAGAACACCTAATCAACTATTCTTCAGACCAATCAAGTCCCAGATTAATGCTGTCTGATGGGTTTGTTTACCAATTAGGTAATACTCGTGTTTTTTGTGGTTGGCTTTTTATTGAGTGAGCAAAACTCACTTACCAAATTTACCTTTGTTGTTGTCTCTTTGGGAACATTTATCCCCACTTAATTTTTGTGAGTTTGAATACTTCATATGTAATGCTTATTTCCCAAATTTATGTTGCCATATGAATACTCTTTTATCTTTCCCGACTATTAGCATAAATTACTTGGCAAAAACTCGTTTAATAAATAATTCAGATTCATAGTCTGACAATATAAATATTTTATGATTTAGATTCATAATTTGATAATATAAACATCTTATGTTGTTAGACAGTCTAACAAGAGAACATTTTCCCGCTTCAACGTGTTAAGCTTTTTATTTGGGCCACACAAGTATTCAACTATTAATCGTGCATCTTTCACATCAATCACTAATACCCAAAGATAATTAAGTCTCAATCCTTAGGCTAGCTATTTGCCTTTGCCAACACGTTGCCAACACGCAAGGATAATTAGGCACTCCTCCATCCATGTTAATCCACATTTGTAATTAGATGCTATGATAGGGTACATCTTTACATAAACAACAAAATGATAGTTGATAGCTAGCTAGCTTAGCTCTTTAGAACAGAACAGATGGGGAATCGAGATCAAAGTGTACAATTTTAAATTAAACAGACTTTTTAAGCAACTGGTTTGAGGTTTGGGCCATGTGGGAATTCTATATATATGTAGAATATGTATTCTTTATTTGTTAAGATTCTTTTTTAGAAACTTGTAACGATTCTTTTAAATCAAAGTCAAATGTACATGTGCCTGATTCATTAAAATACATATATAGGCAGTCCTATTGTCTTGGTCGTCTTAGACGAACCACCAAAATGTGACCTTCTACCTTTTATGTATATTTATGTGATTCATTATTTGAGTAAGTTGAAAAGAAAAATTATATAAACTCAAAATCATAATTGTAACTTCGGCCCAAAAAAAGTCATAATTGTAACATAAACAGAAAATAACAATTTGTAATTCACATAAAAACTTTACAAAATGCATAAAAAATCACTTGGGCCTAACTTTTTAAAAGTAACATGTGTATGTATATATGGACGTTTACACAAAGTGGAGGGTCCTTCCAATTTGGAGGCCCTGGCCCGCATGTACCCTCGGCCTCCCATATCCTTATGGTACTTTGGTATCATGTGTGTGAAAAAACCTATTCTCCTTGTAATAAATTAGACTATCGCTTATATATATCAATAAAATAAAGAAAATGAAAGACTTGGTCTCACAAACATCCTGATTTGAGCCACTTCCGTTCTCAATCACACGGTTGTTTATTGCAAAGGGGAAATTTATAATAATAATTAAATTAGTCAAATTATGTATGTACTGCGCACTTTTGATTTCTTTCCCCATTTCACATGATGTGCAAGGAAGAAAAATTAGGCTTTTAAGTACTCCATGGACCTGGTGTTCATTTATTCAAACATTAATGATGACATGCAAGACGCTCATTACACATCTCAAAAAGGTAAAGGGGTCACGTTTAACACTTCCCATTTGCAAAAAAATTGTAGAAATTATAGTGCCATCTTTTCTGACACCATAAAAATCATGTATATGCGTTCACGGGTGTAAATTTGATATACATTGTTATTTTTAAAAAATACATTTTTGGGTATAGTGAATGTTTAACATGCATCAGACTATTTTTGATTGGTTTGGCTGCATGTATTTGTTTGTCTCTCTCCCTCTGTACATGTATGCCTTTCCACCTTTACACGTGAATGTGTTTGTAAGCTTGATATACATTGGTTACCGAGACTGAAAATTTTGGGCCTTGTTGGAATCTAACAATGCGTCACTCATGTTTGCAATCCTTAGAATCAAAGTTTGATTGTTTCTAATATTTGCCTTGAATTTTTTTTTTTCTTTATGTCTTATTTTTATTTGCAAATTGCTAGCTGAATTTTTTTTGTTTAGGGAAAGGAGAGGCTACCCTCACACCCCGGGTCAGACCCAGACCTTAGTCAGGAAGGACTTACGCAAGGGCCCGTATGCCATGAAGTCACCTGTATGGATTTACATAAGAATTTTACAGATTACCTACCAAATAAATACACTATTGCTGCCAGTGGGACTCGAATATTGATGGAGTGTCACAATACAGGGACCTTATTAACTGAATCAACTTGTGTTGGCCGCTAGCTGAGAACTTTGCAGTGCCTCTGCAATAATATTTTCTTTGGCTATTAGAAAAAGGGAAAAAAATATCTCTTTCAAAGTTCAACGCCAAGTACTAGTTTGAGCGATATTTTTTCTTTTAATAATTTTTTTTTCTTCACAAAATGGATATTTTCAAATTCTCAAATTACTTTGACTTTTGCAATTCATGTAGTTGGAGAAGAAGTCTTTTCTTATTCATGAGCCAGATGTATAATTTCAGATATATGATGATCAAAACTCATATTGAGTAGAGTAGACTAGCCCAAACTTTTGCATTTAGGAAAGATGATTTTATATTACTCATCCAAATTTCAGAGAGATTAAAAAACAAAGTTTTCTGTATATATTTTGTGGCTCAGATATATTTGCTTGACATTGATGTAAAATATATGCGGGGATCAACAAGTCTGCAGCCATGGCAAAGCCAAGCTCTGTCTCTCTCTTTTTCCTTCTTCATGTAGCTTTAGCAATCTCGACTTGCGGCGGAAGCAAATCTTGGCACTCAAAGCAGCAAGCTGCCTTCTTCATATTTGGAGACTCTTACTTAGACTCTGGCAACAACAACTACATCAACACCACAACTCTTGACCAGGCCAACTTCTGGCCTTATGGAGAAACCTACTTTAAGTTCCCAACTGGAAGATTCTCCGACGGACGTTTGATGTCAGATTTTATTGGTGAGATTTGCAAATCTTTTATAATGTGGTCCTTGGTTGTATAAGTCCACTTTTGGTTAGCTGATTCTAACACAGAATTTTGTTTTGTCTGCTTATAGTTAATTAATTATGATCTTATCTAATATTTTGTATATTATTTTATATAATTTGCAGCTGAGTATGCTCACCTGCCATTTGTTCCTCCCTTTCTTCAACCGGGCTTTCACCAATATTATGATGGGGTGAATTTTGCATCTTCTGGGGCTGGTGCTCTGGTTGAGACGTTTCAAGGGTCGGTATGTAAGTTTTACATTTGAGAGAGAATGATACTGCCATGCTATTTGGTATGAAGTTGACATTTCATGATGTTTCCCCTTTCTTTTGTCTTAATTGTTAACTTTTGTATTAACTTGATAAGAAGTAAGAAAATCGAGAAAGTAGTAGGTACATGCAACGGTTGTATCACCTCATCATACTGATATGATACAAGAAATTAATAACGAAATGACACGTAATCATTGTTAATGGCCTCTATACTCATATCATTTACATTGGCGTGATCTCAAAAAAGTTTCGAATTTAAATAATGTAAAGGCCCTGTAACAATTATTACTCATCATCTTATTAATTATTAGTTACGTGAGGTCATATTACAATCGTTGCATCTAAGAAATTCTCGAAATACTAAATGTTTAAAATGAACCATTTCGTATATAAGAGTCGAGAAAATAAAAAGTTTTAAGTATTGTTGTGTCTACTTTAGACTCAGAAAGTGTAGAAAATAGTTATGGAACTTTCATATTCTCCTATTTCAGGTCATCGATCTTAAAACACAACTGAAGTATTATAAGAAGGTAGAGAAGTGGTTCAGACACAAGTTAGGCGATGTCGAAGCGAAAGTGACACTTTCAAGAGCCGTCTACTTGTTTAGCATTGGAACCAACGATTACATCAGCCCTTTCCTAACCAATTCCCCCATACTGAAGTCCTACTCTAAATCACAATATATTGGAATGGTCATTGGCAACTTGACAAGCGTTATCCAAGTATGAATTAATTAGTAGTTTATTTCTTAAGAAATGTTATATTTTCAAATAATTTGATATGTTATGTTGTTGGTCGACACGACACATTTCCACATGATGCTATTTAATCAGTGATGCTGATTCATAGTGTGATAACATAACATATATAGAGTGCACATGTTTGACTCTTATATATTATGATTGGGCGTGAAATTCGCAGGAAATTTATGCTGGTGGGGGTAGGAAATTTGGGTTCATCAACTTGCCGACCTTAGGTTGTCTTCCGGGCATGAGAATAATCAAGCCAGAAAACAATGGTAGCTGCTTAAAAGAAGTTTCATCACTTGCCAAGTTACACAACGACGATCTCTCCAAACTTCTGATTCAGCTAGGAAACCAGTTGGAGGGTTTCAAATATTCACTCTACGACCTGAGCGGGAATCTTAGGCAGAGAACCAGACATCCCTCCGAATATGGTACGTACTCAATCCACACCAATCATCATAAAAATTGTCTTATCAATTCATTGATTGGATAAACATATGGGTCCTAAGTCTTCAGTGTAATAATAATCACCAGAGTTTTCAGTACATTATTGAAAATAGGGCCTGGACCATGCTTATTCTTGCCAGTGAGGGAAGTGGGCCAGGCCGATAAGACAATCCCTTGTACTAGTGTTAGGTGTCTGGTGGACCAACAGGTCCAATAATTTGGTGGTGGACCAAATTCTTTTTTGACCTTGAGCGTACCAATAACAAAAGAGTGCTTGAGAAAGTTCTCTACGTTCACCCGGATTACTCTCAACCGTTAATGTAAGTAAAGTTTACAATGCGTTAATGATTTAGAGTCACCAACGTGTTACGTGCATGTGGGAGACTATCCTTAACAATTTTCAAAAAATATTGCTGTCTCCTTTTGTTTTCACTTTTCTTTTTCAATAAAGTAAAGTTGAGCAAATTTTCTAGATCAGTGTACTGATCAAATTGTTGGGTGCATTTAGAAGCCCATGTTCTTGTTCTCTTAATCAGCGTACGGACTCGTTTGGGAATGATTGTATAGGAAGTACTTAAGTGTTTCAACAAAACGCTTCTGTTTATGCAAACTTATTTGCTCATAAATTTGTGCTGCAAGTTAATGTTGAATGTTGTAATTGTTTGTGGTGGAAGGTCTCAAGGAAGGAAAAGCAGCATGCTGTGGGACAGGGCAGTATAGAGGGGTGTTCAGCTGTGGAGGAAAAAGAATAGTGAAGGAGTTTGAATTGTGTGAGAATCCAAATGAACATGTGTTCTGGGATTCTCTCCATCTCACTGAAAAGGTCTACAAGCAATTGGCCTATCAAATGTGGAGTGGTCGGCCATGGGATTCCAATGCCACGGGTCTATACAGTCTCAAGGATCTCTTCCTCCAAGGCTTCTAATTAAATCCTTGCATCAAATCACAAATTGTGACATATTAAATATTAAATTATTAGTCTTTTTTGAAGTGGTACATTTGATGTAACGCGCTCATTCCACCAGAATTATGACATGTGACTTTGAACATTTCAATCTTTGGTAAATTAAAATTAAAATTAGATGGAGCAGCTTAGCTGTAGTTGAAGATTAGACATGTATCTTTTGCTACTTCGGTTGACCACCGCAGCCAAAATAAGTCTTTGCTTCTGGAAGAACTATGATTAAAAGTGTAAATGTCTTGTTACGAAATTATAAATTATATTTAATTATCTTTTTTCAAGTAAAACTGTCGAGATAAACACCCAAAATTATCAGAATTATTAAATATGTCACGATAGTTTTAAACTTTTTTTATACAGAAAGAAAAAAACTTTATTAGTTTTCAAGGAGTAGTTGTGTGTGTATAAAAAAATAGATGAAGCCGTCCTCAGTGATGTTTGAGGATTTCTCGTCTTTGATTGATTACTCAATTTTTAAGACATGAACAAGGTGCTAAGTATTTATAATTTCAGTCTATTGCCTTTTTTGTATAAATTTAAATTAGTAATGTCCGTCAATTGAAAATTTTAGAAAGAAGAAGAAACAGTTGGAAATATTTAATTTGCACTTTTTCTTTTCTAACTCGTCAAGAGCTTAATGTGTCTCTCTAAAGATTACTTAAAATCCAACTTTAAAAGTTCGATGATTGAGCCTGCATGTGTAGAGGCACTTGCTTAATCTCTTAGGACATAGTTTGGTTTTTGTATTTGGTATTTGATTGGAATAGGGAATAAAAACTATATTCGATTTAAGATTTGAAGTACTCGATCGACTACACTAATGTAAGAGCATCTCCAACCGATGTGTCAAATTGCCACATGGACATAAAATAATAAAAATTGAAGGTTAAAGTTGCTCCAATTGAGTAGTCAAATTCTACAAGAATTTGAAGGCTGAAAGAGAAATGTTAAAAATAACATATCAAAAAGCTTCATGTCAAATATTATTTTAATATTTTTTTAGTAATGGACCCACTATCATTTACTCTCTTTTAAAACTTTATACATCATATGAGCCCAATTTGTTTTAAAAAATATAATAAAATAATATAATATTTAGCATTTCGGGTGAAGTTAAATTTTTTCCAAAGTGTGAAATTGCCACAAAAGTCATTAAATTCAAATTTAACATTTAACATTTAACATTTGACATCTTCCTTGAAGATGCTCTAAGTAATGGTCCCCTCCATGCCACGATTGCCTCCCATTTCCAGCCATTTCTACTTAAACTGTTGTTCTAGTAGGTCTTGTTGACGAACTTCCCAGAATGGTACTTCTAAAAATAATTTCTATAAAAAAAGACCATATCAAACATATAAAAATGAAAACAATAATATTTTAAAGTCTGAGAAGAAGGTGGCGGAGAAACAAATTTAAATGCGATAGAGTAAAATATTTGTTTGCTTACTTATCTTCCTTCTGGATTGTTTTGATTTGGACTTTTTAAAGAGAATAGGTATGTGCTTGATTTTTATACACAAAAAAAGAAAAAAAAGAAAAGGTCATTGATTTTTATACGCATGCAGAACTGCCTCCAAATGTCCCCATAAATAGCAATTCACGATAAGTTGAAGATCGAATCCAGCAATTCAGAACAAAGCAAAAAAACAAAAAAGAAGAAAAAAAGTATGGCAAATATAAGCTTCCAAGTCTCCGTCTTCGCTTTTTGTACAAGCATTAGCCTTCTTCTCATGGCAACCCAAAGCCAAGGCCATCTTGGGTTTGACAAACATGTGCCCCTTTTCTTCTTTGGTGATTCATACTTTGATGCCGGGAATAACAACTATATCAACACTACTCTGCGGGCAAATTATTGGCCATACGGTGAAACTTTCTTCAAGTACCCGACGGGTCGATTTTCGGACGGTCGTCTAATTTCAGATTTTATTGGTAAGAGATATAGATACTTCATGAACTCATAGAAATGGTGTCTTATAGTAAAGAATCTCAAATGTTAACAGTACATAGGTAATTGGAAGTTAAGTATTTTTCTGTTGCAGCTGAGTATGCAGAGTTGCCATTTATTCCACCGTATCTACAACCCGGTAGTCAACAATTTACATATGGAGCAAACTTTGCATCTGCAGGAGCTGGTGCTCTGGTTGAAACTAGCCAAGGTTTGGTATGTGAAATCATTTTGCATGAATTTTTTGTTTATTTTTATTTAATCACTGGGGAAGGAGGGATTCGAAACTTGGATTAAGAATCGAAATACCACTAAATCAAGAGTTGATTTAGTTAGATTGATGCATGCATTTGCTTCGCCGATTAGTTTTTTTTATAATGTAAATTACAAATACACTGAACAAGAAAAGTCATAACGCATATATAGGTCACCCATTTCTTACACCACATTTATCATATGATTGGGTTCAATGCACCTTTGATAGAGATGTGGTACACCAACCAATGTAGTGGAAAACATGTGGTACATCTAGCAAGTCAACGCTTCCATAAGACTTGCCTACTCTTGGCATGAGTTTATATTTAGAATAGACATATACTTGTAAACTACCCAACCACACATTGAATAGTAGGCTCAAACATTTAATTAGAACTTTTTTTTTCTTCTGAAAACTATGACCCTTATGAAAATGGTTACTTAGTTTTCTCAAACCTTAACCCTCTTTCAGGTGATAGACCTTCATTCTCAACTCTCATATTTCAAAAGGGTCAAGAGGTTGCTGAGGCAGAAACTAGGGGATGAAAAAGCCAAGGCTCTGCTCTCAAGAGCCGTTTACTTGTTTAGCGTCGGAGGCAACGATTATAGTTTCCCATTCGAGACAAACTCCAGCGTGCTTCGATCCTACTCTCATGAGGATTTTGTAGGCCTGGTGATAGCCAACATCACTGCAGTAATCAAAGTAAATTCCTAGCTAGTACATACTTAAAAAAAAAAAAATGTATTGATTGCATAATATTGTTGTGCATGCATGATGGATATAGTACTAACAAACGAAATATTCATTTTGACGAATTAGGAAATATATAGGGAAGGAGGAAGGAATTTTGGGTTTCTTGGCCTTGATCCTCTTGGTTGTTTACCATATTCAAGAGCAATTGTGCAGGGAGAAAGTGGTGCCTGCTTTGAAGAAATTACACCATACGTAAAACTACACAACAAAGCAATTTCCGAACTCCTGCAGAAGCTAGAGAGTGAGCTCAAGGGATTCAGATACTCACTTTCCCAAATTTACGAGTTTTTAATAGAAAGAATAAATCACCCCTCTAAATATGGTACGTATATATATCTTGAAAAAATCTTCGTATGAACTAAATTTATGTTGTCAAACGGTGAATTTGATGATATTTAATATAGAAACAAGGAATTACTGTTCAATTTTTGTTTTGTGATCGGCGAAGGTTTTGAGGAAGGGAAAGTGGCATGCTGTGGAAGTGGTCCATATGGAGGCATTTATAGCTGTGGAGGGAAGAGAGAGGTGAAAGAGTATGACCTGTGTCATAATGCTAGTGAATATGTCTTCTTTGACTCTGGTCATCCAACTGAAAGGGTCTTTCAGCAGTTTGCCAAGCAATTCTGGAGTGGAACTTCCAATTCCACTACGTCTTACAATCTGAAAGCACTATTTGAAACGTAACGTATGAGAATATTGTTTATTTATTTAGGGTCTTAGACCAATTTTGCCCCCATATGTAGTGAGAAATGTTTGCTCATTGTTCTACCAAACCAGTGCGTGTATGGTTACATATGAGTGTTTAGTATTGTAAATTTATAACAAATTTTTTTGTATGTGACGTGGGCAATAATACAGTGGGTTACACATTTATGGGTGTGAAATGTTTTTGGAGATTATTATTAATTGTGTTTGATAAACTGTTCCTGAAAAATGAAAAAATTCTCGTATTGTGGAAATTTTTCCTACCAATTCATCAAACAAAGTTAACCAAACCCCATGAATACCAAAATCACCCACATGATGAACATATCATTTTAATGGTTGATAAATTAACCATTTTAGAGAATTCATCTACCCATAAAACTACCAAAACTAAAACACATGGCGTGGAGGAAGGCCATGGGGCGAGAAGAATGGAGAAAAGGGCATCTGATGCGGGCAACGAGGAACATAAGGCTATCTCCAATGAGAGGGCAGCCCTCTAAAATATTTTTTTTTAAAGAGTAGTGTAGGGCTAAATTTTTAACCTCCAACCATACAAGGCAATATGTTAAGGCTCTCCGTATTTTATCATTTTGAGAAAAGCTATAGTACATTACTCATACATTCAACTAGGGTTTGTGCCCAGTTTGAAATTTTCGAATTCAGGCTAGGTCTTATGGGGTTTTTTATTTTTCGAGCCAGACTAAGGTTTCAAAGGCCTTGGCCTAGACCCGCCCATTGGGCTAACTTTATTATTCTATTTATTATTAATTTTATTATGGGCTGGCCGAGTCGGGCCTAGACATGTTTTTTCGGGGCGGGCCGAGGTTTCAAACCCTTTCTTCAAGCCCTACTCATTCTTAAAATGGATCGAACCTAAATATCAGGCCGAATGGGGCTATGGCCCATCGTGCCTCCGACTACCCACAGACTCCATTGTTGTATGCCCCCTACTTTCTAAGGGATTGAATCTGCTCCTTAGCTTTGGGGTTTTGGGTTTTTCTCTTTTTGGTTACAAGGTTTTGGGTTTTCTTATTGGTTTCAAGAGCTGCAAACCCAGGCCCAAGTTACAAATTTTCCCTCAATCTTAGTTTGGTTTGGATTCTTATTTCTGCTTGCTCTGAAAATTTTATAATATGAATAATATTGTAAAATAGAGAGAATATGAGAGTACTAGTTAGATAATAGTGGAATTGTAATGACTTTTATGATACTTCTCAAATACATTGCGTAAACAAAATGCACTGACTCATTTTTCCTTAATAGTAATGGCTTCGATCCCATCTTTCATTACGTTGTTGTACCTAGTGTATAAGTTCATCACAAATCTTCACTTCTCCATAAATTTTTGCTTTTCACTCTCACCTTGTGGCCCATCCACATTTACAACAAATAAGCATATTTGTGATATATTATTCTTTTATAACATGATATTATTTCACAATGAATATCTTTAGAACTCTCTTTATAGCATTTTTGTGGAAATTAAATCTGGTCGAGCCTTTGAAGAGTTGAGATAGAGGAAGCAGATAGAGAGAGACAAAGAAAGTTGTGGGTCTTATTTTGTTTTTTATATAATTAAAATAAATACATTTTCTTCTTTTTCTATGATTTTTAAATTTTAAATCATGTTAAAAATATTTGTTTTCCATTTAAATTCACGTGGTATTGGTTTATTGGATATGTAGGCTCCACATATATGCCACGTCAGGAATTTAACTGAAATTTGTACTTAGGTGAATGGGGTAAATTAAAAACCCCAATGGATAGATCTAAGTCAACAATAATCAAATGTTCCTAGTAGCAATATGACTAGTCATAAACCTAAGAACACGAAGCATAATACACATCCATCCACCAATCAATTCTCAAGCCCTTGCAAACCTGAAAGATGACCACGTGACAATCTAGACACTCATAAGCACTCGTTAATCTAGGCATCCCCTGTGCTAGCAACAAATTGAGTGAAAGGTGTGTGAACAGTCATTGTAGCAATAAGGAAATACTCAGTAGGATATGACTAGTCTAGTTATCAAGAACATCAAACCCATAAATTATTCACCAAGAAACCCACAATTGGGAAAAACTAGGGGGATGGAGGGTCATCATCCGACCATGCAATTCACTAAGCAAAGAAAATTCTTACAAAGAATTCACAAGCAAGCTTATGAAATCCTAGGTCTATTTAGGAAACAAGATATACCTCATATGTTCAACCTTCCTTTCCAACTTAGCAAAGGTTGCAGCAAGTCCTTCATGGCAATGAAAGCTTCCTCTTTAGCTCGTTCATCCCATGGCATCGGCTTACACGGATACACGACTCAAATCCGAACAGGAACAAGAAATTTGGATTCCAAATGACAAGACCAATTTTTTCAAGAAATCATACTCTTGAAGAAATCAATCTAGAATCTGACCAAGATCTAGATGATGTAAATTTAGTTTTCTAGATGCTGATTTTAAAACTAATGAAAGCAATTTTCAAATGCAGATTTAAAAAATCATTTTCAAAAGACATGACTTCTAAAACAAATGTGGTGCAAAAGCTATATGAGCAAGCTTTCAAATCTTTTTAGGAAAGAAGAAGTGTATGAATATATTCGATGCATATTTCAAAACTCATGAAAGCGGATTTTCAAATTGTAAGTGTATGCATTTTGTGATTTTCATTTGGCTTCCCTTGACAATTTTGTAATAGGACAATCATTGTAATTTCTCAAGCGCTAAGTTTAGATTAAGAATTACTTCTCTACTTGTTCTTATCTAGCTACATTATGATGGACAACATTGTGTTTGCCAAAGGTAAGTTTTGCATTGCATTACATTGCATTAACATATTTCTGAAGATTATGACTAGTCATCCTTTCTCCGTATGACTAGTCATCCTCCATATAACTAGTCATCCTTCCTCTATATGACTAGTCAACCTTTGCGTTAGTAAGGTTTTCCGGGTCACTGTTTCCAGCTGGATCCTACCCACTTTTTTGTCATATTCTACGAAATCCTTCGCTGCCTTTTACGATTCTAACCTAGGAATTTTTGTGTAAAAACGCATACATTCCTCATTTGGTAGCCGTCACTTTTGTAGGCAAGTTTTGGAAAGTTTCTCTGTAAACTTTCTCTTCTTCCTCAAGTGTAACCTTCATATTTTTCATCTTTGAGTTTTCCAAAATGTTTCTTTTTAAAAACTGCATTTGAAATATGAAAACCTCATCTTGCTAGATCAAACACTCTCTCATATATATCTAGGTCAAATTCAAGATTGATTTCTTCAAGAGTATGGTTTCTTGAAGAAATTGGTCATTCTCCTTTGAATCCAAATTTTGGTTTTTGTCTGAGTTAGAGCTTGCAAGCTGGTGCCATGGGATGAATGAGCTTGAGAAGGAGCTGTCATTGCCATAAAGAACTGAGCTTCAAGTTTTGTTAAGTTGGAGAAGAAGATTGCACAAAGGAGGTATAGTTCATCTTCCTAAATAGATCTAGGTTTTTCTTGAGCTTGCTTGTGTTCCTTTGTAAGAATCTTTTTCTACTTAGTGGATTCCCTGGTCGGTTGATGACCCCCAGTTTTTCCCAATGATGGGTTTTTGGGTGAACAATTTCTGATTGCATCTCTGTAATTTTTCTAGGATTGTGTTCTTAGTGGTTGACTAGTCATCGTATGAATTCTGGGTTTGTGTCCTTGTAGTTGACTAGTCATCATTATCTGATGTTTGATGTTTACTTGATTATGATGATTTCACACACTTTCATCATAGTTGTTGCTAGTATAGGGGATGCTTAGATTGACGGGTCCTTCTGAGTTCTTAGGTTGTCACTAGTAATCTTCTAGGGTTGCAGGTATATTGTGGCATGCTCTGTGTGTATTCTTGATTGTGGCTGTTCATGACTAGCAGTTGACTAGTCATAAATGTTTTTGGTTAAGGTCTAAAGTGTGTGAAGATTGTTGCATTTTGTTTAAATGTTGTAAAATTTACCCCTCGTCACCTAAGTACCAATTTCACAAATGCCATTTGAAAAGCTCATTTTCAAGAGAATGACTTCTCACTCCGAGAAAGAGAGAGAGAGAGAGAGAGAGAGAGAGAGAGAGAGAGAGAGAGAGAGAGATAAGGGAGGACCAAAGTGTAGGATTTAAAACATTTTAAGAAGTTCATTTAAATATTAAGCATGCATTAAATCAAATTAATCGCAGCGGAAGTCTATAGTGGTTGTTTAAATTCAAAAACAAAACTTCTTCCAAGTATCTTAAGCCATGAACATTGACATGTTTTTCATAAATGGAAAGTTCAAGAGAAAGGATAAAATCTAATTACCCTTGAAGCAATTATAAGAACCAATTTGTGTTTGGTCTTCTCTTGATGATTTCCTCTTTGTTGATCTCCTCTTTGATATTTGATCTTTGCTTCTTCATCTTTCTCCTCCATGTGAGCCACAAAAGTATATGGCCTCTAAGTCTCCACACCAATGGAGCCTTGAGATGAGAGGAAGTATCTTGAAAATACAAGGATGCTAGTGCAAGATTCTCAAGATTGGTTTCAATCTAAACCCTTTGAAAGATGAAAGTGTTTCACTCTTGAAAACTCTCTTTTATCTCTTTTTGATCTCCCAAACCTATTTGGTTGAAGTTAGATTGTGTTTGTCTGTCAATTAGCTTATGGAAACAATTCCAATACACATTTACTTAAGCATTTTCGGCCAAAACCCATTGGGCTTCCAAAATCAGGTCTTGTGATACTTAAATTATAATATTTAGGTCTCTTAAGCCCTTGGGCTTGATACGCAATCATTACCAAGGCCCAAATACGTTTTTACACCTAGTAAATTATCCACATCAAATCAATCAAATTGATTTCCTCATTCTCATTTGTATTACTCAAAGTTAACCATTTAAAGTGTGCAATCCATTAGGTTCTAATTAGTAAGACAATGAGAATATATTAGAACTCTTTCTAATCAATTGGAATTTAAACCCCCTTTTAATTCTTCCTTTATTTGGATCGATCACAATCCATCCTAGGACTTCCATGAGCCAAGAGTGACATCTAGCAATATATCAAGGTTACCTAAGCTAACCAGAATAGATGAAGAACCTATTTAGTTGGAATTGTAATACAATACTGTCCTTCTCTTGTACAATGTTTCAAATCATATTATTAGGGTAGATATTGATTATGTCAAACCCCTAATATGATTTATAACCTCATGTGATTCAAAAGAACATGATTAAGAACAACTTTCTAAATCAAGCTCAAAATACTTTGGCCAAAGATTTGCTTAATCACATATGAAATTACTTGTAAGATGACTAAAAATGACTAGAGGGGAGGTGAATAGGCCACTTTAAAATTATAATCAATGAATGAAAACTAAATTTCGGTAGCAGGATTGATATGACTTATCAATCCTGAAACATGTTGGGCATAAAATAAAAGAACATGCAGAGAATTATTTTACGTGGTAAAACCCTACCTTTGGGGAAAATCTAAGGGACTCCTCAGTCTAATACAAATCCATTATAGAACGATGATTACAAGAAGTACTCACACACTTATCCTAGACATATTTTAGATAATGTTTACCAACTTCTTCGTAACTAAACTTCTGTCACGGGATGATATTCGACACTCCTTATGTTGAATGCAATACTGGTCGCAATTGCTTTAAGCTTGCTGAAGGAAAACCGCAATCACGGTCTTGGTGCCCTCAACCGTATGAGTCACCAAACAATACAAATGAATGCAATATGAATGATTAAAGTGTTTGATGAATCACCAAGTAAATAAGGAACACTTGATGACTTATATATCTAAACAATATGCACGACAACTTTCTAAAAGAAAAATTCAGCATGCTCAAAAGTTCAACACGTTGCAAAGCTCACAATTTGAAAAGAAAACCACCCTTTTTATTCAATACATGTTTTCTCTTGAAGAAGAGAAACCCAAGATACCATTAATTCTCTCCAACTATGACTCTACAACCTGATCCAATATATGCTCTTTTCATTAAGACGCCAACCAGAAGACAAAATACTATCCAATTATGAATATGAATTCTGATTTAATATAAACTCAAAGTGATGACACCAAAACGCTAATATTTTAGCTTAAGTAAAAATAGTGTCCAACAAGGACAGTAATCTTAAGAGATAAAATCTAATCCTATTTTAACATAATAATACTTGATTGAAAATTACTCAAACTAGGAATTCTATAACGAATGCATGATTATATCATGATTTACCTGAAATCAGCTTCCTCATATCGATCAAGTCACACTACAAAAATCCGGGATTGAATGTGTTGCGCCAAAACTTCCAGTAAACAATATTCACAGACTAATTCCCAACCTATGCTAAAGTCTCGGAAATGACAATACAATTTTCATACTAACAATATCTCGAAACATTCTCCTTCTTTATCAAAGGTAGAGATTCCTTATTGTACATTCACATGCCCCTATGATGAATTAAGAGATCCCAACAACATTTAAGACAAATCTTGTACGACTTGCCTTTGAAAGCTATTAAAGATCAATAATACATCACATGACTACCATGATGCCTTGGGAGAAAGGACTAATTTGCATTATTGCAACTATGAGTTCTCGTTAGACATATAGATAAATACTCCATACGAGAACTACAGTTGATTGCGTTTAGTGTACTCATTCACTAATGGGCAGCCACATACTTGTATTAGTGTCAACTACACAAATGTTTTGAGACTAACCATCCTTCTAGTTGAATATACATAATATGTGGTAATCTTGACGGTTTATCAATGCCCATTTGATAACCTAAGATTAGGAACATTTTAGGATACTACAGTTAGAGATTAAAGGTCTCCCGAATCTAATCTTCTTTTGATTACTTTATCTCTTATTTAGCATACCCTGAACATTTGTTTCTTTATACGATGTAAAAGATAACAAAATACATTTGCCCTTTATATATCATATACGAAACGTATTCTAAGAAGATTACATCAAATGTATTGACTCTTATAGCACAATTCTAATACAAGGCTCTCCAAAATATTGGGTCTCCAAAAACACATGACAATAAAAATGAGCTGGTGACCTGGAAATTCAGATGACTAGCCATACCTTAAGATGCTCTAATGCATGAACATGCTTCATGAATGATTTTACCTTCGAGAACTCATTGTCAACAAGTCACTTTTGTGTTGTACCACAGCCATGATTCATCATTCTTCATCTTAGTCTAATTCTAAACTCGAGTTTGAGTGAAAATAATAAACTATTACAATTCGTTAAGGAAAGCTAAAATACTTTGCTAAGCAACACCTAACACTAACATATATTTTTTGACATAACCTAAGGACATGGACTACTTGTGAGTATTTTTTGACCAGCTCACCAGCTCATTTTTTTGACATATTTTTATTATTATTTTGACATAACCTAAGGATGTTAACTTTAAGGACTATTAATAATAAAAAATAAAAATAAATAAAGGATGAAGTCTGATAATTTCGTGAACCTCAAAGACGTTTTGTGATATAAAAGACCAATTTTAAAAGAATATGAAGGGCATAATCTAAATACAAACACATGGAATGCAATGAAAAAAAAAAAGTTCTTTGAATCAAATCTGAATTATTATAATCAATCCTAAAATAGCGTTAACTAGTCCTCACAATTCCCACATCAAATCCAATCGACATTTGTGACAGCCCACCGCGCCTAAACATTGGTGGATTTTACTTTCCTAGTTTATTATTAGCCATGTGTTCGGCACCTGCAAAAAGTTTGAACTTATTTAGGATTTATTCTTGGGATTTATTCTCTTGTTTGGTTAAATTTTTATTATCTCTCAACCACGTGGCTGTGGATCTCATCATCACAGTATTTAATTAGCCATGCATTCCCCCAGGTGGTTATTGTAAACCTGATTAGTATTTATATGGACTTCTCAATTGTGGCTCGGTGTAAAATATTTGTTTGTTTGTGCATATTATTCCTTACAGAAAACGACGACAATGAACGTCTAATTTTTCTTACAGGGAGGTATAATTGTGTTCTTGTTTTGGTCGGCACATTTTGATTTACGCACTAGCTCCTAGTTGCAATGAGGATAACACTATTTTCCGATTAGTAATGCTATATTACGTGTAAGTGTTATTACGCGTATTATAATGTTATTAGACATACCGATTCCATAGAAGTCTTTCTACTTCAAATGCCCCTATAAATATCAACTGAAGCTAGATGAGGTCAAGATGCAACTAAGTAATAGACAGATATGGAAAATATAAGCTATATCCAAATCTTCGTCTTTGCCTTATGTACAAGCCTTCTTGTCACAACCCAAAGCCATGGGCATCCTGTGTTGCCAAAAACACATGCACCCCTTTTCATATTTGGGGATTCAGTCTTTGAGGTTGGAAATAATAACTACTTTAACACTAGTTGGCGGGCAAATTATTTGCCATATGGTGAAACCTTCTTTAATTACCCAACTGGGAGATTTTCTGATGGTCGTCAAGTTCCAGACTTTATTGGTACATAGTATATATATATTAGAAATATGATATGAATGTTTTAAAAAAAATAATTTTTCTTTTATATTTTTATAAATATATCTGAATTATGACTAGAGTACATACTTTTATTGTTGCAGCTGAGTATGCGAAGTTGCCATTGATTCCACCATATCTACAGCCTGACAATCATGAATTTTCATATGGTGTCAACTTTGCATCTGCTGGAGCTGGTGCTATGGTTGAAACTCGCCAAGGCGTGGTATGTGGCATGTGTTTTTGGAAGAATGTGCGCGCATCTTAAGTTAAAGTCGAAAAGACAGGTTTTCTGGGTTTACGAGTTTTAGTAAATTTGATTTTTCCCATTTAAACTAATTTTTTTCTTACTTGCAGCCTATCATTTTATTTTTATATAACTAGAGCCCGATAACTAGCATTGCATAAGAAAATGATCTAATTTAGCTTAATATAGTATTTATTGTATTTTTCAAATCCAAAAATTCCCCTGCTTACAATTTTACTTGTCATATATGGGGTGTATTCATTTTTGGTTCCCTAAATTATTGAGCTTGGGGTTATTTAAATGGGAAGTGTCTAAATTTGAATGACCCGAATAGTTAAGCGATTCGAGTTTAGTATTTAGGGTCTCGGTTATGACTTATGACTATTCCGAAGTGATACATCAGTCTACCGAGCACATAATGAGATTCACTAATGTTGTACTGACTTCTTGAAAATAACCTTGTTTCAGACGATAGGCCTTCAAACTCAACTGTCAAATTTCAAGAACATCACTAAGTCATTGAGGAAGAAACTAGGGAATGAAGAAGCCAAATCTCTGCCAAGAGCTGTTTACTTTTTTAGTATCGGAAGCAACGATTATCTTTACCCGTTCTACACAGACCCAAGTGTGCTTGGAAACTACTCTCATCAGGAATATGTAGACCTGGTGATAGGCAACATAACTACAGTAGTCAAAGTAAATTCTTAGCTCTTGAAAAGACAAAAATGATAATCCTTTTTATGCATATTAATTACTAATTAACATTAATTTCGACGGGTCTTGTGTTAGGGAATCTATGAGAAAGAAGGAAGAAATTTTGCGTTGCTTAACCTCTGGCCTATTGCATGTCTTCCATACGTAAGAGCACTTAATCCGGAAGAAGGTGCTTGCTATGATGCATTTACACCATATGTGAAACTACACAACAAATCACTTCTCAAAGTCCTACAAAAGCTAGAGAAAAAACTCAACGGATTCAGATTCTCAGTCTCCGATTTTAATGAGTTTCTGACACAAAGAATGAATCATCCTTCTAAATATGGTATCAATTCTATCTATATACGCTTTACTTTCTTAATTTTGATATCGTTCTTTTAATTAAGTACTAATTATTTAACCGACCATTTTGACATTTAAGCCTTATGATAAAATGTTGGAAAATTATAAGGTTTCGTGGAAGGGGAGGCGGCATGCTGTGGAAGTGGTGTATATGGAGGAATTTATAACCGTGGAGGAATGAAGATTCCCAAAGAGTATAATTTATGCAAGAATGTTAGTGAATATGTCTACTTTGACTCTGCTCATCCAACCGACAGGGTCTACGAACAGTTTGCCAAGAAAATATGGAGTGGAAATTCCATCACTACGCCTTACAATCTGAAAGCTCTATTTGAAAATTAGAGCTAAGTAAGATTACAGTAAAGGCAGATGATCCAATATGGTCAATAAGCAAATTATAATTTGTACTTTTTTTAAAATCCATGTCACGGATATTTGTCGTTTTTATTTTAAATTGTGTGATAGGTACAATAAGAAATGTTAAAGTGTGCCATTTGTGAGTGTTGAGAATATGGAATTCGACTTAATAAATAAAAAATTATGCTCTTAGATGAAAATATATAAATATATCAAGAATTTTCATTATTAATAGTAAAATCATTTATTATATATTGTAATTTATATAATCAAATATCCGATGTGAAATTTTATGTTCTTTTAAAATATTACACTTTTTTTTTTTTTTTTTTCTCTTTCACCTATATATTGTCAATTTCACGAGTTCTTACAATGTGAAAATATTAACTTTGAGCTAACAACTGATATGTCAAGCTTTGTCTCAAAAGGTGCAGCCTTAGTATTGAATGTTATAAATGTGTGTGGTGGAAGGAGAGCCAACAAATAAACAGATGTTGAGCCTCTGCTGAAATTGGTAATTAGGTAGAAGGGGTAGAATTTAAAATTCTAAACAAGTTGTGACAACAATACTCAAATATTCCAAACTAGTCAATAATTATTTATAGACATATTTGCAAGGAATAGATATACAGATTCAAATCAAATACATTCACAACACCTGCAAGCTTAAAAGAGAGAGTTAAGTGACAAACTAGGCACTCAAAATGATCCATCAATCTAGGTATTTGCAGTGTTAGCAACAACTAGAGTGATGAAGTGTCTGAGCATCCATCAGAATCATACACCAATATTGAACAAGTATGACTAGTTAAGATAACCAGAATCAACATTAGAAATATTCGCCCAGAAACCCACCACTAGGAAAAATTAGGGGTCATCATTCAACCAGGCAATCCAACAAAAAAGATGATTATTATACGAAAAGGCTATTACAAGCTCAAGAAATCCTAGATCTATTTACGAAAACAACTATATACCTTACTGGGCACTCTTTCTCTCCCTAAAAACCCATATGACAAATGTAAAATGAGAAAGTTAGTAAGTCCAGGGCAATCCCAACCTTTTTGGTAAAATTTGGCAGGTCAAGAGAACACTTGGTAGCCAATGGTTGGACTTATAAAAAGCAAAATCATGTGCCTTGATTAAAAATTTTGTGCTGAAAATATTTGGCCTATATGACTAGTCATCTGGACAAAGTATTTTGATGTAGATGCTAATTTTTTCTAATACCTTGGTTTTGTAGCCACATAAGCTCTTCAATGTACTTCAACTTCCTCTGTAGCAAATATCCATGTCCTAATTTCTAAAGATGAGCCAAAAGGAATTATATGAAATTGCACATTTGGCAAGGAAAGCCAATTTTAAGAATTCCAATATTAATATTTGCATTTAGCATTGGTGTATTTATAGGCGTCAAATAAAATCACGAACTTTCCTCTTTTTTTCTTTTGAGCAGATGTACTTTCCTCTTTTGTAATAGTTGACTGCTGCTAGGATTATTCTCTAAAACTTCTTATGGTTACATCCTGGATATAATGTATTTCATACATAAATCAAATCATTGAGGAATTCAGCCAAATCTTCTCTCTTTTTTACCCTTCTACAAACTCCAATGAGATATTTTGACAGCCTATGCGAGTATTATGTTTAATGGGGCCTCAAGTGGGATTTTAAATTCATAGTTTATTAGCCATGTGTTTTGCACCTGCAATTGCGTAAACATGATTAGCCCCATGTGGTTGTGGATCTTATCACAATGTTTAACTAGTCACGTGTTTCAAGAGCTAATTAGTATTAACTAGTCACAATGTTGAAAATAAGTTAAATGTTACGGTGCGTTTCAATGAGGAAATTTAAAAATAAAAAGGATTTCATAAATAATGGAATTTCAAATAACGGAAATTAATGTTTTATAATTTGTAAAGTTTCTTGTTTGGATAACGGTTTGAAGTTATCATTTCTTTGTAAAGTTACATTTTTTAAAAACTCAATCTTTCTTGAAATTATAGAAATGACGACTTTTAGATAGAATTTAAAGTTGAGATTTATGACCTGTAAATTTCATTTTTTTCCCACTCAGAATTTTTAAATTTCTATGTTTTTTATTGAGATTTTCTATTTAAACCTCACACTTCTCTTTGTTCACCCCAACTTCTAATTTAAGTTTTTGCAATTTTTAAGAAAACCTCACTATCTTCCCAAACTACCCTTAAATACACCCCAAGTTGAAAAAATAAAAAATAAAAGAGTTTTTCTATTTAAACCCCACTATCTAATAAACTATAGAAAAAAACATATATCTAAACTGAATAGTGGGGGAAAAGATGAAGAATGCCCCTATTTTTTGAGATGAAGATGAAGGTCCATGTGCTTGCAGCAAGACAGACAGACAGATTATTACAGTATATCGTTTACTGTCAATGGAAAGAGATCCTAGACCAAATAAAGATTTCTAAATTAGAAATTAAATGAGGAGATATTTATTTGCATTGTAGACAATGTGGGAGCGATTTTCGTCCCACAAGAATATTCGATCGTTTACTGTAAATGGAAAGAGATCCTAGACCAAATAAAGATTTCTAAATTAGAAATTAAATGAGGAGATATTTATTTGCATTGTAGACAATGTGGGAGCGATTTTCGTCCCACAAGAATATTCGATCGATTGATTCCCCTTTCTTTTTCGTCGTCTCTTTCTCCCTGCAAAATAGATTGGAATAAGAGGACCACACCCGGGGGGTGTTGGCCAAAGACCCTCCGATGCCTAAGTTAGTTCAAGTGTTTGTAGGAAAACAATAACTAACAGAAAGGGTACGGAATTGTATGTAGGGTGTGAACTAGGCTACTGGAGCCATGTGTGGTGGCCGGAGCCTTGTGTGTGAGAGAGAAAGAGAATGATAGTTAGGGTTTGTGAGAGGGAATTTTTGTAGAGTTTCAGATAGAATTTTAGACGTACCTCAACCCTTATGTGTAACTATCTATTTATAAGGGCCTCAAAGGCTAGGGTTTCAGAAGAATAATTCCACAGATGGAAAGGAATTATTCTTCTCTGATTTGGCGAGATTGGTGTAATTAGGGATTTGAATCAAATCCCTAATTAAGGTAAGAATCAAATAAATCCCAATTTAATCAGGTAACTCATAATTAAATTGAGTAACTCCCAATTAGGTCAAATAATTCCCTAAATGATTGGCCTAATTATTTGACATAGGATCTGAGATATTTTGCTTCCACAAATGCCCCATAGCTTCTGCATGGCGCGTGGTGGCATATAGGAGATGTTGATTAACTGTTGGACTGGGCTTTCTTCTTAGATTTGGACTCCTTTTGTAGATTGGGTTCCCAATTGGAGTAGGCTTTTGATTGTTCTTAGAGTTGGGTTCCCAGTAGGAATGAGCTTGCGATTCCTTCTTGACCTAAGATGCCCAACCTGTGTAAATGCAGGGCTTCTCTTCACTCTTTTTTACATCGCAAACTTAACTTCTCTACTTTCTAGCTTGAGAGAGATCTTGGAGAATTTGACTGTTGTCTAAGAGAGGAGTCGCTATGCATCCCAAGGTAAGCCGAGCATGTATATTTCTTTTTCTTCATCTTTTATTCTTGTTTGCGGCGAGGGCCAGCTGGGGAAGCTCAGCTAGTTGTCGTCGTGATAGGCGATGGTTGGCAGTGGGCGGTAGTTGTGGTGGAGCAGGTGCACATAGGTGGACTAGCTACTGCCTATCATCGCAAATCTGAGCTGGAGCATGCTGGGCAACGTCGGCTGAGCGAGTATCAAGAAGAGGTTGATGGTCTGCCTCTTGCCCAAGATGTTGAGAGATGGAAGCAAAACGTTCTAGACTTTGATGATCTGCCTGTAGAACAGAAGGAGTGTTCTGCCCAACCCTCTCAAAGAGGAAGGCTGATGTCCAGTCTTCAAGAAATGGAGCTGCGGCTCACGGGCGAATGATGTATCTCTTTTGAGGAAGAAACCAAGGCTCCCTTCTACTGAGAAGACATAAGTAGGATCTGCTCCCATTTATCTGCTAGGATTAAGCACCTCTATCAGCACAGACATCAAGAAGGTTGGCGATATGCAAAACACTCAGAATGTCCCACTCAAGCCTCATGCTGACAAGCTTGGAAGCCGTGATCTGCTTCAGGAAGTGGTCCACTTGCTAAGAGGCAAAGAGATGCTGATATTCTTCTTTGTGGTTCTAGTTGTCTGCATTAGTGAAAGCATGAAGATCGAACTTGGAGGTCTGCTCATCTGCCCAGCCATCAGGGTTTAGTTGTTGAGTCACAAGCAGTCAAGCGTGGAGTTGATTCAGCGTCGTTAACTTCATTGGAGGTAAGGATGGAGGTGGCTAAGAAGACGAGAGAGTTATTTGCTCGGGTGAAGGGCTTTTCTGCAACGTCAGCGGCTAATCCCAATGTGGGCAAGTCCAGCCTTGCAGGGGATGCAGGTATGTCTAATCTACTCAAGATGAACTTTCTGTCAAGTCTATCCACTTATGCTGAGCTAGTTGATCCAATTCGTCAGGCTGGTGATCTTAGTACTTTCTAAGTCTTTCATTGGAAAAACAAAAGGAAACAACATTTCATTTTCTTAAAAAAGGAGTAGCTTTTGCTGTTGAAACTATCCGGAACTCGTCTGTTATTGCTCCTTCTTTTGATGCTGACTTAGTTAGTCGAAAAGATGCATACTTTCATCTTGAGCGCAAGAATGCTTACAACTCTCTTAGTTATGACAAGCTCTTGGCTAGATTTTGTGCTTATCACAAGTCTGCTGAAGAATCCAAGTTCGAAGCTGCCATGGATGCAAACAAGCTGGGCTGTTTGTACTGCAAAAATGGGTTTGCTCCCTTTTACGCCATTGGAGATGAAGACATCAAAGAGCTCTGCCCTAACTTGCTCCCTGTTCAAAGTGAGTAGGTTAATGCTACAAACATGGAAGGAGTTGAAGAGTAGGGGGCCTAAGAGGAGATAACTGAAAAGGGTGGAGCAAATGAGAACGCAGTTGATGAGATGTCGGCAGATGTCGTTGATCGAGCAGGTGGAGCTGCTGAGAGCGTGGTTGATTAGG